CGTTTGCGGCAATATCGTTGCGGAGAGACGTCGTCTCGCGCTCCGCTCGTCTGGATGCTCGCTCGTTTATTTGTTTATTTTTTTTTCTCTCTCTTTTTCTTTTTCTTCTCCTTTCTTCGTATATACTTACCTGCACAATCCTCCTTGGCATCGGAGTCGTCTGCGAGACGAGATGAAAAATTTCAACTGCAGCTCCATCTCTCTCTCTCTCTCTCTCTCTCTCTGTCTGGTTAAATTTACGGCCGCGGCTATGTGTTTTCGCATTGTTGGAAATTGCACCCCCTGATTTTGTGTTTATTAATTATACTCGATGCGCTCGTGCGTGTACACGCTCTGTGGTTAAAATTTATATTTGTACTAATATCATTAAAGCTGAACTTATATTTAGTCTTGAGTTTTTTTTTTTTTTTTCATACGGATCCATCGATTTATTTCCGCTGTAAGCGCCAGTACAGCTGAGATAAAAAATTAAACATACACTCGACTGGTTTATTTGGTGTTCACCCGCACGTCATGCTGTGTAAAAAAAAGCAAACGTAAAGCTTCGTTTAAAGTTCTTTTTTTTTGTTCGTAGAATCGTTCATACACACGTGGATGTAAACGTAAAAAAATAAGTCCATTGGAATTCTAGTCCCTCCCAAAAGGCACTTTTACAGCTACAACTGTAGTCAGGTATTCCAAGTAAAGGGAATCAATGTGTAAATCGTATGTATGTACATATATATTGAACTGTTGGCTCGGCCCGCTAATGGCGCACTATCCCTCAAATGCGCCACAGTCGTCATTGTGTTCCCAATAGCTTCCAAACGATTCGCGAAAAACGTAGTAAGGCTAATAGGTGTAGGTATCGGGGCGCGGGCCCGAAGCTGCAAAGTGCACGGGGGCACGAGCATCACCGAGAGGATTATTATTTATTATTGCGGGTCTTGACGGAGGGCCGAACACGAGCGAGAGAGCGCGGCTGTGTGTCATGAGAGCTGGGAGCGCCGTTCGCAAGACGTGAGTACGTAATACGGAGAAAGATACAGACATTGCAGCCCGATCACGGTTCTGCTGCAGCTGGGGCTCAGCCCCTCTTCTATATATATATGTAAAGTACGTGATTCGTAGGAAAAAAAAAAAAAAGTTAAGTATTTTGAGCACCTTGTAGATGCTCTTTCCGTGACAAGTGCTGCTTAATTGTAGGGTATTGTGCGTCTGTCTTTTTATATGCACGGGGGCCTTTGACGCAATGGTCGTTTGACAGTACATTGAGCTATGAGGATGTTATACATGTACCTCGATTGGCTTCCGATATTGCCGCTTTTGTATGCAAATTTAACTCGAGTTCCGTTCTCTCCAGGTGGAACGGTGGGGCACTCGAGTACGATTCACACGCGGCGCGAACGAACAGTTCGCTACGGGTAGGTTATCGGCTTTTCCAAGTCAGAGAGTTTCACTGGGTTATTTGAGAATTCAATGTTTACCGTCTGCCGTACTGTTGTATCTCTCTTCCCCCCTCCCCCTCGCTGTCGCATTGCACTATGTGTTTGTTATTGCTGGTGCGTGAGGGGCCTTTGATTAGCGCAGCTGCAGCGATCCAATTTTAATGTACAGAGTGTAATTTTACGTGGATCGGGATGTCTTGAAGTTTGAACAATTTTCATAGCAGGGAAAAAAAAATGTCCATAGGAGCAATGACGTCGATCGATATTTTATGTCCTGCCTGTATGTTTACCAAACGTTTATTTAGTTGTGCACTGTGCAGATTGGACATACGCATATTCGTACTCATTTCAGCGTGTATTCCAGATTTTTTGGCAAACTCAAAGGGATTCAACCAGCGTTACTCTTTTTATCTGTTCCTTGTATAGTTTATAATGTATACTACTTATGTGTACGTACTCACAGGTATACAAGCGCAAAGAGAACCACAAGCCAGACTAGAAGATTGCGTGGCTCAGAGGATTTTGGCTGACAAAATACCTCCATATACGTTCACCCCCATCCCCTCAATATTTTATTATCGTAGGCGTTGTATTGCAAACTGATACTTTCCACATCACCTGGGATAGGGGGGAGTTGAAAAATTATGGACACAATTGTATGTGTTGGATGCATTATTATATATGGCTTCGAATATGTTTAGTCGAGCACGTAGATTTCAAAGATCGTCCGGGGGGATGGGTTTTGCATTGCTTGCACAGAAAGCTTCGCGAGCAAGAGCATGCGATCCTTATCTTCCTGCGAAGCTATTATCCTGGTATTATTATTAGGTACGGATTTTGACTGCCTTTGAAGCTTTGGCTGGACGGTACAAATACATTTGTATACTTACACAGTAGACGACGAGGCAGTTGAGAGTCGGGAGGCTCGCATTGCTCGCCAAGCGGATTTCAGCATGAGCAAACTCTCTTTGATTAGTTGTGCAAATAATAGCTTGTCGAATTTCTTCATTTGTCGTGAAAAAACGTCGTTGTTTTTATATTTACAAGCAAATTGGGAAACCGTAAGATGCTTCTGCGATTAACTCAGGGTTTTGAAATTCGACTTATTTGCGTTGTAATATATTGTACGTACCTACAAAAGATTATTGGTATTTCTAGAACGCAGTATCTTGTGTCACTACAAAAGTTTTATTGTAATTATGTTATTAAGATTTTCAAAGCAGATTAGCTAGAGCAAAGTAACAACGTTCTCGTCACCGTTTACTTGCTAACGTAATACTGGTGTGCGTCTGGCAGCTAATACCTACGGGGTCAGTAGAATTTGCAAGTTTTCAACAGGTTGTATAACTTTAGGTGATGATTTTTTGGAAAAAGAGTGACACACTCTTGGACAATCAAATTCGTAAAAAAAAGCTCTAATTTTTATTTGTAGCAAGATGATTCCAGAGACAATTATGTATTTTCCATTTTACTTTCTTCTTTATCTGTTATTGCCAATTAGGTTAATCCGAATTGTATTTCTGGGATATTTGTTAGTGGTATAACATTAGAGAAGCCATGGTTTGCTTGAACTACATTGATATAATGGTATTTTAAATAAAAGGTCTGACTTTTCGTGATATTTGCAATGTATGAATAGAAAAAAATTGTTCTATCAAAGTTTGACTAAAGTTTCGTACAACTAAAAATTATTTATTCCTATAGCGAATGCCAAGTTTGAGTAAACAAATGTTATTACCGTGACGTGCTCGTTTCTTGACGTCTAAAAACTTGAAAAAAAAAAAAAAAAAAAAAAAAAATGACGTAACTCGAGAGAATAACTGTGTCAAACGTAGGATTCATGGAAGGGAGGCGAAAAGCCTGTGCTGCTCGCGTATTATAGCTCCGTGTTGCGAGTGCGAGGGTACAATGTAATACGCTCCTTTGTCCGTTCGCGCTCTATATTATGTACGCATAGCTGCAGCCGTGGGTTACAAAGTGCAATGAGGGATGGACCAAAAAAAAAAATGCGAATAGCTGCGGGGCTGCGTTAAACCCCTTCGTGATATGAAGCTCTGCATGCCACGAATCGTATAGTTTCCGACCCTTGTGATTACACCCTGTTAAATTCATACGGTATGTAGAGGTAATTCAAAAGACTCTGTAACACACACACACGTATATATATACAAAAGTTGCGCGTTTGCGACCAACTGTTGAAATGTTGAATATGAATTTCGGTAGTAATACATACATGGAGTAAAATACGTTTGTACCGTAGTGCTTATGAGTATAATCGAATTGTAAAGCAATTGCCTACAGTGTAGTCAACGTCGGAACAAGAAAAAAGAGCTATGGATTGCTCGCAAGGACCGAGAAGTGAGTCAGTTAATGGGCCACGAGAAAGACGAAAGGTAATAATACACAAACACATAGTTGTCGGAGGCTGAGGGCTCAAAAAATCCCACAGCGTAGCCACACGTACAAACCAAGACGAGTCGCAGTAAGCGGGATATGGGCGCGGCTGGGGCCCGCAGCATCGGCGACGAGTGAACACCATCACGCGGGTTAACTTGCCTAGTGGGTAAACGTCGACTCGGCCAGGAGGGGTAAACACCGCGGTTCGACCTCCTGCACACCATTGGGGCGCAAACACCCTCGGCTAACCAATTCCCCACATCCACCCCACTCCCTAATCCCATTAAGGGTTGCTGCGTCAATACGAGGAAATGGGGGGGGGGGCTTGCAGAGAGGCAGTGGGTAGCTCTCCCTCCCTGATTCAGCACAGAATCGCAATGTAAAATCTACACGCACTGTGCAGGGTATAGATAACGTATAGTCTTAACTTGGGAGGCGTAAGAGCCGTTAACACTTACAAGTTGTGCGTCGGATGTAAGCTGTCGCGTCGCGTATCCGCTGACAAAGCTTGACGATCGGTCGCCTTGAGTCGCTGATGCGGCATCTCCTATTCGGTGTACTTTCATTGATGATGACGGGCACGTTAATCGGCGATGATTACGTGTGCCGCTGCAACGACGGAGCAAGCTTGATCTTCCTCTATACGTGTTACATCGTATGCCACGTACCGATCGATTGTGGCAAAGAGACAGAGGATATCTGGGCGTGTGTGTACCCTGATCCAGAGAGCACGTAAAGGACTTGGCTGTCAGCTGGATTGATCGCTATTCAGCGCACACGGAGAGTGAATTAGGATACCCTGTACAACCATCACTGCTTTACGTGCGACAATTTGTCCTTACGACTGACTTTGGCCGACCTATCTTCTGCATCCAATAAGGTATCCGAAGAATTAATTTGCTGATGCAGGTATCGGTACGATTAGAGTTGATTATTCGTGTATTGAAGGTGATCATACTAACTTTTTTTTTATATAAAAACCCTGAGATGATTTAACGAAATCAAGCTTGATACCTACCGTAAAACGTATTACGTGCATCCCAAAAATCGTTGTAAGCACCACGTAGCGCGAAAATCCACATGTTACTTCAGAAATAATTTATATTTGTACGTATCCGCTCCGATGTTCAAAAATAGTTTATGTACATTAACTGCTCTCTATATATGCCAAATTACCTTGCAGTGGTAGATCAAAGTCATACACATCCATCTGAAGAATTGTCTCGTCATCGCGATCACCCCGACAAAAACAACTCATTGAATAAGTGCCGTAAACTTTGATGAATCAAACACGCGCGAAACTTTATCTCCTTTTAGGTGGGAATGCGGAACATCATACCTACCAAAAATACCTCTCCCTGACACCACCGCTTCCTCCAATTGATCCTAAAATCGGAGCTAAGCTAGAGTGGATGTAGGTCAAAGCGTCGGTCTCATCTCTCTCTCTCATTCATCTTTGGAAGTAGAGCCATATGGTGACGGATGTTGCCCCTATGGCGAGTGTCGAAACTTTCTTAAGGGATTAGGCCAATTACCAAGTTGAGGGTTTGGACCGTGAGAGAGAGAGAGAGAGAGAGAGGGGAGGGGGGAATTTAGAACGCGTTATCTTATCGGTCGGGCATTAGATTTATGGAGCTCGACACTTGGAGTCAGCGAGGGAGGAAATTTTTTAGGCCAGAGATCGGCCAAATGCCCTGGACCGACAACAAACGAGGATGGGGGGAAATTTGGGCACCGAAGTTAGGTGACAGGGTGGTCATTGATGTCCCGAATGGGATGGCCATTAGTGCCTTACACATCGCTCTGGGGATACTCGTGCCTGCGTAGCTTTGATTACGACAATGACGAGGGTGAGGCTTAGGGAGCGGAGTACCCTTAGCCTTTGATTGCGATTGACATGGATCAATCTTCACCTAGTACGAGCTTTCGATTGTCAAGGGGCGAACAGTGGGCGCACATGCATTTATCAACGCTCATCGTCAACTGCCGATCATGTGAATGCTATACATGCATTTGATAGCTAATGAATAATTCATCATGTAATCCGACTGTCTTAGCGATAGATTCGGAGGATGCGTTTTGAAAGTTTGTTTTAATTTGGCAAGAGTGCAAGGAATAGAAGCTCGATCAATTTTTTTTTTTTTTGTTTCACAAAAATATCAAGTTTGTCCTGATTCAAGATAAGAAAATTACACACGTCGTATGATTATGGCACTCTTTGATTCAGTATGTCTGGAAAATCAAGGTGCTTGTCACTGTTTCATTTATCCTTCCTTTTTTATGTCACGTTACCTTTTACCCTCATTTCAACATTACAGTAAATATTGTTATTTGTCTGCTTCAGTGCTAACTTTAAACTGGTAAGTAAATTACATTCATTAGCGCAAGCATCGCATGAACAATATTAAAATTGATTACTTCAAGTTTCATTAATTATCATTTCCTGGCTAGAATGTGAGTCAATTTTCAATTCTCGCATTATTCAGTTAAATCGTATGACTTTTCTGCTCTTCGTACAATTAACTTTCAATTAATTGTTAACTTCCTACTGTACCGGTTAGTCAAATGTGATTAAACCAAAATGTTTGCGGAAATTTTAATTTCACGGCAAATATAAATACAGTAGGTATTTTGGATGAAAAAAAAAAACACTGCTTGCAAGAAAAGTTTTTTTCTCAAATAACTCGAGCAAAGTATATAGCACGAATTGTCTGCGCGCAAAATCCTCTAAAAACTCACCCACGCACGTAAAAGCTCGGATTTATGAATAGTCGTTGTACAAAGCTCCCGGAAAATCCCTCGGAAAATTCCAAGGTAAAACCTCCGTAAATATCCAATCCGTCGTTCTATTTCTTGGACACAGTTGGATTCCAAGTGATTCCAAGGTCCCTTTTAAAACTTTCCAACGGTCCCTCCTTTACTCGCTGAATTCCGTACGCTGATCTTCTATATGTAGCCCTGTTTATACGTAGGTATACAACTAACATCCTTGCCCAGAAGCGAGTCATTCATGCATTCAAAATTTTCCAATCGAGTCTAAAAAAGCATAGATTTCGAATTTCCTTTCTCTGCGACGATCGCATCAACGGTTGGCCCTTTGCTCCCCGTGTTAATGTAATATGTACACATCCAAGAGACGTGTTTCCCGTCCATATCTACTTATCTATTATGTATCTGCTGGATCTGTTACCTCATTTTGCACTTTAACATTTCACGCTCTCACTCCTTCCACTATCAATAATCAATTCTCCAACAAACGAATACAGACTGACAGCTTGCAGCTGTATAGAGAAGAGATACAGTTACGTAATAATAGAATTGGAGGGTATACGTTACAACTGTCTGCGTGTAATAAATTAATGCTGCTTTTTCGTCTGTTCAAAATTTTACAATTTATCAAAGAAGTTTATCACGGGATGTCATTGGCGCAAGATACGTGTTGAATTTTATTTTTTATCCTCCGACTGACTGTGGAAAAGTGTTGAAAAGGATATCCAACATTATCTATTGAAATATCCATGACTTTTTTTCAACCAAGTACAATTCTTTGATAAAACATTCGTCGCAAAATGTGATTCTTTTTCTCTATACGCTTTTACGTATGGTGGCCTTGTTTGACTATTAAACGACTCTGTGCCAACAAAGTGAGATCGACAAGTTGGTGCTGATGTTTATGTCTAGGCTTATCTGAAAAAAAGCTGTGGCGTTTGATCGATACATCCGAAACCATTGATAGAACGTTCATCAGTTATCTTATTACTATTATTTCAGCTCTCTCATGTCACAGTACCAACGTAGAAAAATTTTTTACTCCATCAAAGTTCTCGAGGTAACATTTTGTTTCACTGGCTCACAACAATTTTCAAAAAAAAATCCATAAAACTACACGTACAACGATCGAATTAAGCAGCTTCATCTTGAATAGTCTCAAGTGTATCATCACTGCAGTACAAATTTACCATAATAAGCGTCCTTTTGACATGGTTGAGGGAAGAGGTAGTCTTAATGTCACGGTGTCGTACTTTTCGTTTTATCTGAGAAAAAGCTACCCGGAAAGAAGACGAGCCACACACATGAAATCCCCAGTGGATTATACGAAAAGTCCAGTGGAGAGGCGCGGCGGCGTAAAAGACTATGTACTGGGAAGTTCCATGGGCGTGGACATTCTCGCACGAAACGAGAAATTCCTCTTAGCACTACCACTTGGGGCTCGCTACACGTAAGTGCACTCCTCGCGCGGCTCGCAAGATTTGATATTTCCTCCCCATTACGCGGCACGCGCTCTTCTTTTACTGTTAAAGATTCATCTCACACGAAAAGAATCCTTCCCGGGACCGCGCCAAGTGTAGAAGCATTATCAGTCACTCGGCTTCCCTTTTCAATCCACTTACGACGGCGCTTCTTGCCTCCTTTTGGTCCACTTATTTCCTCGGATGTGGAATCGCGTCATTGCACGTCAAACGAAGCCCCGAAGCCTGGCGTATCAGTGGTAACTGCGTCTTGGAGCTCCTTAAGGAAATCATTCCGTCTCCATCCTCGGTGCCAGAACACGAGGGGTGCAACAACCGAGCCGGAAGCACAAGGACAAAGAAACTCGTGTGTTTGAAGCGTCGAGCACAATTACTGGAGGTGGTGGTAGGGTTTAATAAAGGAACAAAGTTCCGGAAAGTCGGTGTCTCATTTTGCACCAATGATTTACGAGAGACGAGAGAGGATTGTGTTTTCAGGATGAAGAGGGAAGTGAACACGAGTGTGGAGAAATTAATTTTCCGGGTGGAATGGCATTCATAAGGGTGTTTTTCTTTCTCGAAACAAAATGAAGCCCGCATACGCGTGGATCGATCCTGCGCGTCTATATAAAAGTAAATGGGATCCATGTGAAAAAGTTTATCTCCATAGTGAGCATAAAAGTTGGTGGGACCTGATAACAGTGTAATTGATGATGAAAACTTCTCATTGTACCCATGTGACAAGAAGATGGTACACTCGTGAAAATTAAAAATGTAAAAAGAAAAGAATGAATCGAGTTTTCATGATCAAAGGCCGTATAATTTCTTCTTTTCAAGCATTTTATAAAGGATGAGAGGTGCAGTTAAAGACTCCATAGAGAGTAACCTGCTCCTTGAAAAGAGCTCCTTTCCATAGTCTGGCTCATTTCCACGGATGTCTTAATGGTTATCTCTCGCAGGCGTTACGGTATTCATGCACTCGCTTATTTCTTTTTACGTTAACATCAACTTGGTGTTTGTTGTAAAAAAAAAATCAAATGAAATAAAATAATTAAAATAATAATAATAATAATAAAAGTGATAATAATAGTTGTGTAGTCATCATCGCAAATCAAATTCCGTAGGATTTATTAATGATTATGCCATAACCGTTAAGAACAACTTTTATCATCTTACTATAATCACTGGGTCGATCAGTGAGACATATTATGATGTCCATGACCGCTGCAACACTCATGACCATTCCGATATAGCGATACGATGTAAGACAATTGTAAGTCATTTACCAGGATTCACTCTCTCCCATGTCTTATTAGCTGTTAAAACAAAAGCTGACACATCAGCAGCTGACGAGAGAGACATGATGCTTTTTTAGGTCTCAAGATAGGTTGTTGAGGATGAAGTAAATGTTGCATCAGCGCAATAATTTGTTGACTCATTTATTCATGATCATTATAGACGGGCAACCTGTACACTACAAGTCTCCACTCGTTTCCTTCTCGCAAATCAAATCTCGTTCCTGATGGTATATGTCTATAACTTTGGGTATAGTATATGTATACTATAGGTGTACACATTTGATACATCCATGCACGTAGCACGTGTCTCGTATTGCCCATGAGAAAGCGATGAATTCGCGCGTGATGGTGATTATTGGCTGGCATGTCTGCCAGGCTCGGGCCGCGGTGGCACATTATCGCGTGCAACGGCATAATTGGAGTTTGCTTGGTTTTCAATACTTGGCCCCCTTCTTCCGCTTCGCAGATTGCTCGTAGTTTGTTAGTTAGTTTACCTGTCTCGAGTACTGTACAAGTGAATGGTAGAAAGAGAACACGATGAAACGCGCGTGTACCAGCTATTGGCTGCAGGAGGTTAATATGCGCATACTTGCGCTGTGCGCAACAGACGTCTGTGCGCGCCCGAGAAAAGTTTTCACGACGGTTCCCCCAACTCTTTGCCTAATTGATAACCAGCCGATTCAACGAGTGGCTCTGCCATTGT